AGAATAAATAACTGAGTGTGCATTGACGTTATGAATTATAAAACTTTTTTGAAACATGTTTTTAAAAATTGCCTGCTTTCATGAGCTAAAAACTTCTTCTGAATAAACAAGCATGCTCTCAAGGTCAATGACTGCCAGAGTTTATTTTTTGGCATTTTAAGATTTTAATATTTGAAGCTACTTAAGCAAATGCATTTATCTCGTTTATATGCAGAAGTTTATAGGTTTATAAGAATCCCGCTATGTCATATTTTCCAACAAATACAATCCTGTTTATGACAGGCGTGCAAGACTTGGATCGGAGTAAATGTTGAACAGCGAGGACACAGAATACCTCTGGGTGTTATCCGGCTTGGCATGTGCGCCATAATCGATTTTGATTGGCTCTCCTCAGCCCTACCTGTCACTTCAGATGGGCACAAGCTTTGAAAAGGGGATTTCCCGGGTTTCTCAAGAGATGAGTTGCATTGAATGTCTTTTTCACACAGGGCTTCAAAGTTTGTAAAATATTGAATTATTTAATACTGGAATTTGTTTGATGTGATAACAAGTTAAAATCAATGGCGTTTGTCAACTGAAATTGACAAATGAAGCGTGGCATGAGATGTGGGAATTGATTGATTTTAAAGGTCATGTGACTTGATAATACGGCCATCTTGACAAAGAGTAAATACAGACGGATCAATAAGGAACAAAAAGTTCTTAGAAACTGAACGGTGTTAAGTAATAAGAGCTGGCACCTCGGTAACTTTGGTCTGGGGTCAGTTTAACATTTCAGGATTGCAAGTAGCTGTTATTCCACACCTTTGTAAATGAATGTTGTTTTACGCCACTTAAGTAGTATTTAATTCATTTCATTGATGGGATGACATCAGAAGTGGGTTTCACCTGTTGTCAAACCACAAAACGCTTTCACCACAGAACTTCCAAACCTCCTTGTCCTATTCTATCAGTGGAATATTTTTAAAAAAGCATTGTATAAACAACAGGTTTCTGTAGTGTTTACATTTTACTAAAAAGTCAAAACGAATTTACAATAAGTTATAACATGTTTAACACTAGATCACATGTCTCTATTTAAAAATCAACGATTGTAAAGCACTACAGTATTTAAATATACAGTAATGTAATTAGAATTACTCTGTATGTCGGTTTTGAGTTGTAATACGGATGGGCGAGTTATTATAAACTACCTCTGCCTTGAAGAATATTTCAGTATTTCAGTTATATCATTCTCAGTAAATTTATCACAGGAGAGCTATACCGGTCGTACACCTTTTAACACCGGTGAAACCGACGACCACGACGAAGATCCTGACACGGTTAAGGGACATAACTCAGTGTGACTTCTTAGACGGAGGAAAAGGAATAAATTCCTGCACGTTCTTACTGTTGGCAATAAGGCTGGAACTTTTATGATACACTAAAACACTGTGAACATCGTCACAGGCAGTGAATTTATCTTCTGGGAACAGAATCATATGGACGTCTTGCACATATAGCTTGTTTCTGGATCTACTGTTGACGTGTTTGTATAACGCCATTCATTTACATGATGCTGACTTGTTGCTCCTGGCATCGTCACACCTGGACGATAGTGGAGAACATTATGTTAATGATTCACTAAAATCAGTGACGACACCAGGTGTTCGCAGAAAGATAACAGATGTCCCGCTTTCTTGGTAGCATCAGCTGTAACGTGTAAATATCGTCTCCAGTAACTTACACAAAGATGCAAAACACACAATAGAACAGTTTGTGGGATGTGTACCAAAACGGTTACATTCGAGATTTCCGGGGGTTAATATTCATTCCGAACTCTCCAGATAAAGGGAAAAAGTGTAACAGATTTTTCATGTCATGTAACAAATGTAATATTGGAAAACGGAACTGCTTCCAAGCGTCAAAACAAGATTTCTTTCCCGAACAAAGGCTATATATACGGTCTAATTGGCTTCATACACCATCAACAGCAATAACCTCCTCTTGAGAGAACATTTGTGGAAACGTTCTTCTTTTAGTTAATCTCCCCATAACTCATTGTTCGGAATACGACTATTAGAACGATCAGCAAACATAGGTTTGCTCTAAAAAGCGACAGATCGTTGCTAAATTGGCGGAATGAAAGAACAAGTCAGCGGTTATTGCGCAATTAACTATGCTAAATTTCATAGGCTTGACTGGCCTTCGAGATTTGTAGCTTGTCAGTTGTAGAACCAAGCCAGATTGAGTTCAATTACACACGAACGTGATTGCTAATGCCCTGGTGGACACAGTCGACATTCCTGATAGACACAGTCGACATAATGACGCTATGCTATGATAAAAAACGTCACAATGTGGTTAGATGTGATATATCGTGGTTATATAATATTATGCCGCGTATCATCGCGTGGTAATAGACACAACACCTTGGTTATACTCTATATACCGTGTTGATACATGAACAGTGTGCTTAGATGCCATGGTTAAAAATACTGGACTATACCCTGGCTGCATGGGCCATACCGTAGTTTTACATACCATACCGTGGGTACAAGGACAGATTATACCCTGGTTATATGTACCATATTGTAGTTATACATACCATACTGTGGTTACGAGGACAGATTATACCCTGGTTATATGTGCCACACTGTAGTTATACAAGCCATTCCATGGTTACAAGGACAGATTATACCCTGGTTATATGTGCCACACTGTAGTTATACAAACCATACCGTAGGTTACAAGGACAGATTATACCCTGGTTATACCATACCGTGGTTGTTGTAGGTACATACATACCATACCGAAGGACAGATTATACCCTGGTTATATGTGCCACACTGTTGTTATACATACCATACCGTGGTTACAAGGACAGATTATACCCTGGTTATATGTGCCACACTGTTGTTATACATACCATACCGTGGTTACAAGGACAGATTACACCCTGGTTATATGTGCCACACTGAGGACAGATTATACCCTGGTTATATGTGCCACACTGTAGTTACCATACCGTGGTTACAAGGACAGATTATACCCATGTGCCACACTGTAGTTATACATACCATACCGTGGTTACAAGGACAGATTATATACCCTGGTTATATATGTTACAAGGACAGATTATGCCACACTGTAGTTATACATACCATACCGTGGTTACAAGGACAGATTATACCCTGGTTATATGTGCCACACTGTAGTTATACATACCATACCGTGGTTACAAGGACAGACCCTGGTTATAGATATACATACCATACCGTGGTTACAAGGACAGATTATACCCTGGTTATATGTGCCACACTGTAGTTATACATACCATACCGTGGTTACAAGGACAGATTATACCCTGGTTACATGTGCCATACTGTTGTTATACAAACCATACCGTGGTTACAAGGACAGATTATACCCTGGTTATATGTGCCACACTGTTGTTATACATACCATACCGTGGTTACAAGGACAGATTATACCCTGGTTATATGTGCCACACTGTAGTTATACATACAGTACCGTGGTTACAAGGACAGATTATACCCTGGTTATATGTGCCACACTGTTGTTATACAAACCATACCGTGGTTACAAATACCTATATCACATGTAACTATATCATAGTTACATGTGCCACGCGCTCGTTATACATACCATACAGTGGTCATAAGGACATATAGTCAGGTGCTTTCCGCATTAGATGTCTCCAACGTGAAACTTCAAACTTCACATCGACAATTACATACAAATCGCGAAATAGGGAGAGTATCCGGCCCCATTGGCATCACTCTGCATCATTATGCAATTGGCCTTGGTACATTATCATAACGAATATGAATTTCAGTTATCATTTGGGAAACGGTAGGGTAGACTGTCAGGAGCATTCATGGACTTTGGCCAAGACATAAATCCTGAAAGAGGACCAACTAGATCCAAACGTATGCCTTAAGCGTTTCTAATCAGAAACAATTAAAAATATAATTTACAAATATTCCTATTATCAACCTTATGATTATTCATGGAATGGAAATGTACATGCAACTTTTAACATGGAGGCTGTGCACAACCACCTTGTATTGTTGAATGTTTTTTTAATCGTCCTTACTGCAAGACATATTGTTTAGCGAAGCATGCATCAGTTATGAAAACCAGGCTGTATTTCAAATGCTTTTCGTCAGATATATGGTGATTATTAACAGGACCACCCTAAATCAAGAGCTGTTCTGAAAGAATAAATGCCTTACTAGGGTTTTCACAGACAGTTTCCAAGGCTTCTCAGTCCTAACAATACTCGAAGACAGAACGCCACACACGGGGGACAACGAAGCAGTCGCTTCATTAAATGACCCGTGTGTTCAAGAGAGACAACATTGCCTGTCAAATGAAATTATACATTGTTACATTATGAATGCATGTCAGTAACTTGCTCCAAGGAAAATGAATTCATATGAGGCTAAAAACGAGTGCCCAAGCACAACCCACAATGTCTGGATATAGAAGTGCATGTGAAGTAAGTGCATTTTGGGAAAATTGATTTTTCGTGAATTTTGTTCACAACAGATAATTCTGATGGTAACACAAGATGAAGAAGAGTATAGGAGATAAGAACGACAAGCGGTTGGATAAAAACCTCATTGATCATAAAAGAACGCGGTGAAATTGCAGTCTATTATCAGAACAGAGACACGGGGGTTTTAAATGGGAGCTGGGCAAGTCCAGATATCACTGGCGTCCTTGACAATTGGAAGACCTGTATGATTTTCCTGCGTGGAAGTACAGCCATCTGCGACCTTTGCTTCTGTGCATATGTATCATGACGGTGACGTGATAGCCGTTGACGGGCCTGGGATGCTGCATCAGCAGACCACAGTATGAAGACTGTTACGTGCTGGGGGAAGTCCGGTGTAAATTACCAACTGCGGAATGACCTTGATCAGTCAACACTGGCGACAAAGACGTCACTGTTTTCGTCCCACGTTAGCATCGACGTGATTGGTGCAGGATACTGTACAACGTCAAGAGCAGGTACGGGTTGCCCATCTTGATGTATTGGCTCTAGGATACATCCAGGGGGTTAATCCTGTTGGGGGAATTGACGTCATGGTATGAGGAGAGAGTTATTGTAAAAGGAAGACACATTTTAAAGTAAAGAGAACGTCATTCTGTAGCCAGCAGCCTTGGGCGTTCTCAAAGGATAGCCACAAGGGGCACTATTGCAACAGAACAATGACAGGCCACGCACTGCTCCAAGAATTCAGGGCGTGTACCCGTATTGTCCTGGCCATCATGCACCTCAGCATCTGCTCTAGCGTTTGATAGATCTCTTGGTATCAATGTAGCCAACAGATATGATAGCGCCCAAACCTTGCTGCACAACGTACATCAAGAATCTGACCATAGACAACAGGAGACTACGTCATCGATGAAGAGTTGTGTCAAGACATATCTGAACGTCCCGGGGAGTTTCAGAAGAGGTTGATACATGTAGCATTGCTGAAGCGCTATAGAAGCTAACGGAAGCTTACTGCTTTCATGAAAAGTGAGTTGTGACACCAGATGTGTTTAATTCCTCAGTTTTCATTAAATTCTCTTGTAGTTGGTTTTCTGTAATTACTTAAATCATGAGCACATTTTGTCGTTTACATGTCCACAGCAGCCCGCTTCGATACATACGTTCTCTTTATAGATTCAGCCCTCTGTGGCCTATCCAGTCACGGTGTTGGTATCTTGGTCAGTGATCTATACCACAGAGAGAGACGTTATTAAAAACAATCAGTAACTGTTAAACTGATATACATTATGACATTACAGTTGGCATTATTTGACATTCATCATTTGTATGATTGTATGAGCTGTCAGCAGGCACGAAACGAAGCTATCTATAAATGAGTAAACCCGTTCTACGTTAATCCAAATGTAATGAAATTTATTGATAGAGTGATGAACATATTAAGTACGTCTTCACTTCCAATTATGTCCACATTCCCATAGCTCTTACGAAATGATTGCATGCCAGCTTATTCGGAGACAAAAAACTATTTCAAAAACCAAAAGTGTGTAATCGATAGAGCATGGTGATGTAAATATTTTATATGAATGATCACACAATATGGAAAAAACATCCTAAGAGCATCTTAAAAAGCATACGGGCAAATGGAACTGTATTCTGAAAATTGGCCATTGAGTTTTAGACCCTATTCCCTCCATTAGCAGCTATATGGAATTACTGGTCCTCAGGCTTGCTAACAAGAACAAAGGGGAGGTTTCCGTGATGTCAACGATGCATCACATGTGAAGCCTTTATTCCCATCAAACACAACTTCAACTACAGTGGCATTATCGGCTATGCGCAAAAACGCTTGAATGATATTTAGTTGTAAAATGCTTCAGCATGGTCTGGCGATCGCAAGGTTCAATACCATCTAGCTGTAGCAGCCTGACCTGGGGCTGAAATCAAAGACCGAGCGACTGTGCGCATCCTTGAACATCATCACTAGCGTCCATCCCAGTTACCGGGAACCCTGTACTATTTTGAAGGTGATCTGCCAATGTCTGCAATGGCTCTAATTCATTTAGTAACATTGACAATTTCCCTTTAAACGCCTGTCACTTTCTTACTAAAACATGAAAGTAGAAATCCATATTTCAACTGTAACACTAAAATTTTCCCTATCAGTTTAGAACAAATATCTATCGATGGGATTCAAATGACGGACTTATGATCCTTGGCCCGACTCCCTATTCACGTGTCCAATATGTAAAACTATACTGTTAGCAGGCTGAAGAGATGTCGACTGCGAGATGATGCCAGTCCATACTCGCTTGTCATCAAGATACGTGGACAACATAGATGTATTTTTCTAAGATTTCATGTAAGCGGTCTGAATCCCACAAATGGCACAATGATACCGATTGGATTTGAACCGCTGACCTTCTGACACCATGTTGGACCCTTTTCCACATGACCAACGAGGTTAAGTCCTTCAGCAAGCCTACACGGTGATTATGAGGATTAAACCCTCTAAGAATACATCAATACATACCATTAAAGCCACAATGTCCACATCACACGTCTGTAAAACTACAATATAATTTCTCTCAATTATACTAACTATCCGCCCTTGGGGTATCTACCATATGATTTATTCCCCCAAAATTACGTATTTAGATTACAATATTAAATGAAAAAGTTCGAATGAATTAATGCAACTTTGCATTAAATCAACTCTCGCACCCTCTACCGGTCGGACATTATTTCATGCGAACCCCTTGTAGCGCTCTTTACGAATATCCAACGCACAACTTAACACCGCGTGCGACAGTTTTCGATGTACGAAGCTAAAGTTAGTGCATGTGCCCCCAATATAATATTATATAGGCCAAAATATTATCGAAAATGTGCGACATAGTGCCTTTAAAATATGGAACGTTCACATTAACACCCACGTAGCAACGTTGATAAGTGAGTGAGTGAGTTGAGTTTTACGCCGCTTTTAGCAATATTCCAGCAATATCACGGCGGAGGACACCAAAAATGGCCTTCACACATGATACCCATGTAGGGGATCGAACCCAGGTCTTCGATGTGACGAGCGAACGCTTTAACCACAAGGCTACCCGATCGCCCCCAAGGTGGATTAAATGTCCGACACATTATGACCTGCTAACAAGACATGATTGTCTCTTCCCTTTTTCGATGTTCTTTATCAGCTGAATGGGTCAGCACCGGTGTACCGTTTCGTTTGGGTTTAGGTGTAATATATTTTATACACGAGGGCGTTAAATCATGTTGTTTTTGATAGAAAAGAGGAAATTCGGGCTTCCGTCTGCGCTCTTTCAAAGTTTCCCAGTCCGTTCCATAACACAGTGATTGGTGTGAGAGGCATATTTATCATAAGGCTTTATAAATAGTATATAGACTTTAGAGATCGTGTCTCTTTTCATTGTTTTAGGTGTAATATATGTTATACAAGAAAAAAACAGCTTCGGTTTTCTCAGGGTTATATGAGATCAATATTGTTTTCCTTCAGCCCCCAATTTTGTCATGTTCGTGTGAAGAGAACTTTTAGTGATTGTGTTTTACATCAGAAGCTGCAATGAAAGGTGCATTCTTATGCAATCTAATTTATCTGCAATGTCATTTACGCAAACTATATTAAAAGAAGTGGACCAAAGAGAGACCCTCGAGGGACGTCGACTAATAAACACCAGGGCTTGCATATACCGCCATTAACAAATACATGTACCCTTTCACTTACATAACATGAAATGCCTTTTCAATTTTTCCAATCAGTAAGAAATGCACTTCCCTGTTAAAATATACAGGAAGTTACAATATCTGCAGCGTATGACTTATAACAATAATAAATAATACCTTATGACTAATTCGGTCAGACCCGCGAGCCTTTTTCGTCTATATGTGCATTCATTATATTATATTGATTCAAAGGAAGCATTAAACTTACGGGCCTTTCCCAAATCGGAGAAGAGTAGCTGGCTTTGTTTGTTTGAGCGCAGGAAATAGCAGTGGCCCAACCAGGGTTTCTTACAATATATCGTAATAATTTCCAAATTGAAGGTATACTTTCTGCATGCAATTCTAAAAGTAGGCAATCAATATTTGCTTAAACTGTTCTTCAGCTTGACATTTCATATTATTAACTTTACGTTGTTTCTTTTATGTGAAAGTATCTGCAATACGTTCATTCCACTTGACCTTTCTCCGTCAGACTAAGAGTCAAAGATAGTTGCGTCCGGCGCATGGAGTTTACTGGAACAGAATATGCTAGATATAATGTTGTTTCGTAATAGTACAAAAGTATCGACATGCATATTAGGGCGTTTTAGACATTTTCGGCTCAAAAGAATAGAAAAGATGGAAAATTGATGTCAGATTCCAAAAAAGAAGTTAGGGTCCTAATTACGTTTTCTGGAAAGGGGCAGAGGGTGATTATTGTTTGTAACGTTTTGCGGTTGGGGCAAAAAAATACATTAATATTTTGTCTACAAAAAAGGGGGCGTCCAACAGTCCGCTTTTGTCTCACAAGAGGTTATTGACCTGAGCATCTGGCATATCCTGTTCACGAGTTTTCTTTTTGAGTTAATACATGACTATGTATATATTGTTTTGCAGCATTGTAGGAGACCATTTCCTTTCTTAAAATACAACAGCCAGCTTCTCCATGGGACCCACATCCTCAACCCGACCCCCAACCCCTAAGATCATATGAAATATTATCGTGAAATTTGCTATCAGATATATGAAATGCTATTCAGTGCATAAAGGGCAAGGGCATTATGTGCTATTTGTATAAATGACCCTATTAGATGCTCACCGGTGGCCGAATAGACTTTCAAATGAGATGTCTCAGGATGACTTCCTTCCCGCACCAGAGCACGCAGCGGTATATATACCAGCTGTACAGGGTCCATAACATATTAACATACTGGTGAAAGACCTGCAGACCACATGAGCCACCCTTAGAAGCGTAGCCACCGATGTTGCGATGGGTATGGCGCTTTTGTGGTAGTCAAGGCCACAATGTAAATGAGATCTGGATGTCCGAGAAAGAACTTAATAGGCGTGACCGGTGTTGGGGGACCTCAGGTTGATACTAAAAGATGGAATTGCGTGGTTAAATGAGGAACTCGATCCTGAAGTTTTAACGAGCGGATGTCATGAGTAGCACGTATTCTGAGGTTATGCTAAAATGAAGCTAATGTCCTGAGCTACACTTGTATTTTCTTCCAGCATCACTTCGAAATGGTCTTACCATTAAAAGGGCAAGGAATACGATGGCAATTTGTGATTAAGTGTACGACTATTGGTAGTACTCAACTAATATAAACGGACCCACTGATGGTAAATTAATACATGCTTGTAATTGGCTACAAGTGATATTATTAAGCTGGAAATTTCGAATCCTCGCGTGAATGGAAATCAGGAAATCAGCGTTTCTGTTAGATGTGAATGTATAATTGCACTGGTTGGTAATTCAGTCCCTTCCTGCGTTGTTTAAGGGTGGTCCAATAGAATAAAACGAAATTCACTGATGATAATGAAACATGTTTATGGCTGCAACTTTTATCCATGTATACATTTCAATCACCAATGGCAATATAGTCAAGAATACTGATCACATATTCAAGTAGTATTTTGAAACACGTATAGGTATCAAGTTTGTCACGTACAATGTGTAGTGTCACGAACGTTGACAAGAAAACGGGGCGGTGGGGTGGTTTAGTGGTCGTCAAGCCGAAAGCCGGGTTCGATTCCCCACATGGGTACAATGTGTGAAGGCCATTTCTGGTGTCCCCCGCCGTGGTATTGCCTGAATATTGCTAAAAGCGGCGTAAACCCATGCTCAGTCAGTCAGTCAGTCAGTGAAAAGAAAACATCCTGGAAATGCAAGTAAGTAAGCAAGTGAAACCTGCATATATCTTAATTTACGTTTTTATCAGACTCGCTTATAGTCCCCCACTTGCAGCACATATATTGTCCCTCACAAAGCCCATCGACAGACCAAAGTAGGCATTGAG